AAAACTTTTGAATCGCTAACGTGTCCTGCTTATGGATCTGATCTTCCGGGTCAACTAACTTAACCAAAATAATTAAAGGTAAACAGCCTTTAGGGGGATACGTCATCACCGGCAAAGTCAACCGCTGACAGCGGTCAAGCGCTCAGCTGGGTAGTTCTTGCTCTGCGCGGGACCAGTCAGACCGACTCAGACCGAGACCACTCACCCGACACTTCACGGTCTGCGCTCACCGTCGACCGGTCAGGCACCCCGGACCATCCGGCTCCAGCGAGAGGCCACGCGGAGCACTGCGGAGCCCGCGGGTTGCGGGTGGGACATGGGTGGGATGCCGGCAAGGCCTACCGAGGTGGGTCGGACGTAGGCCTGAGGTAGACCACTTTGAGCCCTACTAGTGGTTGTATAGGTCTGCTAGTGGCCAAGCCGATGTGAATCTGAAACCTACCTTTGAGAAAAAAGATAAGAAAGGACATCTGGAACCAGGTCGAGTCCTTCAGGGTTGAGGGACGACGTGAAGTATCTCTGATTCGGTCGAGTCGGAGGGAAGACCTGCCGACCTGGGCGGTGAAGAGACTTCTGGTTGGGAATTACCAGATGGCTGTTCTGACTCGGTATCGTTTTCGCAGATGGAAAACTAAGACGGTGGGAGGGAAACAAAAATGCTCGATGTTTCCACCCAGACGCTCAAGGACTTAGGGGCCAGACGCGAATCCTGAGGGGTCCCGACCCTCAAATCCTTAGCTTTTGAGGGACCCAAGGCCTCCTTCCCACTACGGTGGACTGTGAAAGTCTCACTCTCAACGGGAAAATGCCGCTCCACGCAGAGACCTTTCCGAGGTGGCGTCTGCGGAAAAATGTGGCTGGCCTTCGTCCACCCGCCTGCGGAGGGAAGTCTCGCTGAAGAGATTCGTTTGTTCGTCCTTTCTGATGTATATTGGGAACTTCCCCGTCCCTCGTGATGCAAGACGAACACAGCAAATGCCGAAGAGGTGAACAACAGATTCCAAAAATGATCGAAAAGGAACATTTTAACCTCTCTAAATTGTGTGTTCTTTTTTTTGCGAATCAAACTTTTCCAAAACCCTCAGAAGCATGAAGCTAGATATTTCGCCGTCACTGTCATGGCCCGGCTAATTACGAATCGGGGCCTGCACCACTTCTTGATTGGCCGTCCAAGACCACACGTTGAGTTGAGAGCCTCGACCATCGACCATCGACATCCACGAAACCACGGTCGTCCACAGACGCGCGGATGGGGTTCCGGGTTTTTCCAGCCTCCCCCGGGATCGACGCCGCGGGATCCCGGGTGTTGCCGGGCCAGACTGAAATCCAAACATGTCTTAAAGTCCAGAGGTTCAACCATCAACATCAATCAACATCAATCAACTCCAAGTGGAGCCTACCGCAGCCGCACTTGCGAGTCTGATGCAGTAGGATGGTGGATCAAATGAGACGGATTTCTCTTGTTTCTACAACGTTCTCCTCTCCAAATCTCCGAATCTCCGACGGTTGGACCATTCAGCAAAGAGTGGTCAGTGCTCGAAAGGTGCAAGGCTCGAATGGTCGCAGCTTCACAGACCACACACCAGCACATCTGCGGGCCCGGCCAATGGGAATTTGATCCTTGGAGTGAAACCTGAAAAGCACGGCGGAAAGGAGACGATCCGAACCGCCGCGCAGGACACCTCGTCCCCAAGCAGAAATGGAATGGAAAGAAACCCAGCCTTCTGACCAAGCCAACACCTCACGATGTCGTCCCACACAACGACCAACAACCCAGCCACCCAACCCCCTTCTCCTCCGGCACCGGAACCACCTTAGACTCCTGGACCGGACCAGTCAAGCACCACCCGTGGTGTTCCACCGGTCTTCTACCGGTCGAGTCGAGTCTTCCGTGGGCCTCTCCAGGTCGAAGGCCTCATCGGCCGTGGCAAAGTCCTGACGACGACGGCGAAAGGCCAGGACGGCGGCCAGGTGGTGACCTGGCACTGAGGACCTCCAGGCTGACCTCGGCGCCTCCAAGCCTCCCGTAGCTCGGGAGCGCAGCTCAAAAAAGCCACGGATCGAACAAACATCGACGACCTGACGCGCACTCCTGCCCATGAGGGAGGCCGATGCAAGCAACCTAGGCATGGCGAGGAGACTCACGAAGCTCTGCAGGAGTGAGATCACGTATCAAAAGAAACTCTTCATTCGCAGGTAAACACTATTCAGATAGTTATATTATGTTACAGTATATTCAAAGCCTTCTTATCCTGTTTTTCCTTTCAGCTGACATAATTGTCACTTTGACAAGTGATGTGTATGTGTAGCCAGAACCGGGGGGGTACTTCAGCCGCAGGTGCCCCGCAGGTGCGGTCGTCAAGACACTCCTGCGGCCCCGCCACGTTCGACCACCCAGTGGTCGTCTACTGTCTTCCCCAACTCGCTCCCACCGGTCGATGAGCCGGGCGCTCCCCGCTTTCGGATGATGAGGCTCGATGACTTTGAAGGTCACCTGGATCGGGGTTCCGGACGTTCTACGCAGTTCGCCAAGCGCGTCAAGTAGCCAAAGGCACCGGGAGCGCGGTGACGAAACCGCACGGTATCAACGGACAGTGAAATTGGATATGGGTCAAAAGCTGAAGTGGAGTATTCTTGAGGGCATTCTTGAGAGATGAACGCCTATCTACAAACAAGGTAACCTATCGATTGATCACCTATACTTAGACTTTGAGGTCACCCAGCGGAGTGATCTCGCTCTGCTCTCGCCTGATGCACACAATAGAGTGTGCGCAGCCCCGGATATCCATCACTCAAAAGATTGTCTTGAGTCACATAGGAGTACCTCGGTCATTGCAGGAGAGCGCACCGAATTCGATCAAGGATTCATTTGTCCGGTATCGGTATGGTCCGGTCAAAGCAGGCAGTCTATTGTTCCCCACAATTTGAAAGAACATGTATCAAAACCTGCAGAAAGCTACAAACTGGTCCACAACACGGTATAGATATGGCCCATATCATCCATAGTGAATGAGACAGTGATCACCTCGGTGTCTTCAAACCGAGAACACTTTGAACACACTCTCAAACACTGTTATATAATGGTTTGGTCCATGTTGTTCCTGTCCCCCAGGGCCCGACAGCTACCAGGCCACGCGCTGGCATCTTCTTCGAGACTTTCTCGCGCAGAGGACACCCCTAAGATCTCTTCCAATGCCGATATGCATCGACTCTTCCAATGTTCCACATTGGAGCACTCCTCTGCAATCAGCCGGCTGTCCTTGTCCACGAAGTTCTGCACCAAGGAGTTGTCATCGGGCATCTTCCAACACAGCCGACAGACCGGAACCTGATGCCGCTGGATCTGCTGGCCATCGTGCAGAAATTGCAGCCGCGAGACCAGTAAATGCTCCGCACCATCCACTTCGGCTAAGACTCGCAATTTTAAGATTCGGGTGACCCGTTTCAGCATCAAGGTCCCAATGCCAGTGAGGATGCAGCCACGATGATAGAAGACCTCCCAGAAGAGCTGTTCCAAGGACTTGGATCTATTTCTTCCCCACATCGCGGTGTTGATGCCATGATTCTCCAGCATCGATCGAAACTCTTCCACGGCATTCCGATCCAGGCTGCTCGCCTTCAACACCGGCTTGGACGTAAACACACGGACCACTGGGACACCTCGAAGGCGCCCCGAGCCACTCGCACGGCTGGAGGCATCACTGGAAGTTCCAGCTTGCGTGGACAAGTCATCCGGGTCGACGTACAAGAGTGAAAGAGTCTTTTGATCGAAATCACCTCACGCACGCCACGCCACGCGAAGCTTGGTAAGCTTGAAATCGCCGCTGGTCAACAGAATTCGGACCTTTTCCATCCTCACCTTCCCCAAACACCGCATCGGACGCATGTTCAAGTCGTTGGGGTGATGGAAATCACCAGTTTTCAGGTGACACGTCGTGGCATGGGAAGCACCACAGGCTGCCAATGGGCCAATGACGAAACCACCCATTTAAGAAACATAGAAACTGTGAGGAAACGATCAATTCGTCTCCTCCAGCCCTCTTATCTCAGAGTCCCTGCTACACACGTTTTTTGTTGGGTAGAAGTTCGGTTGAAGGGTCACTACGAAGCGGTCTGAGAAAAACTGGAAATCTCGCCTTCCTCCCGAATCTTTGCAATGTCCAAGACATGGTCCAACTATCAAAAATGATATCCTTTCATTCGCTGTATTGGGCCGGTATCTGGCCCGTCTTCCAGGCTTGTTAACTTCGCACTCTTCCTACTCATTTCAAGCATACATTCTTACATGTTCTGCCTTTAGGCTCCGAAAATGGCTCAGAAAATGCCAAGTGCACGTGCTTCGAGACACAAAAAAGGCCAAGCGACTGCCACAAACCATTTTTTCAGCATTGGTGGCTTGACAACAGCCAGGCGCAGGGCCCGCACCCATTGCGCTGATCACTCACCACGCGCGAGCTCAGCCCAGGAGTCAAATCTCTCCAGGAGTCAAAAGCTGAAACTACTTGGATCTTTGACTTGCCCTGCTAGTTCTTTTTAGTAGAGTTATGTTTCTTATGAACTAACACCTTTCTAAGACTCTCTAATTATGCTTAAAAGAAATAGAAAAGGCCTGTCCAAAACAAAGTCTCCCCACTCCTGGGCCCTGTGTCGAGCTGAGCAAAAATGGTCGACGGCAAAATGGGAAAGAAACATGCATGTTCAGGAGACATGTCTCATCCTTACCACAAACAACACAAAATAACGATGGTGGTGCTGCGAGAACACCCAGCCGACCAGCACGTGATGGTGCAGCCGTCATGCAACTCATCCAACTTTAACCTGGTGAGTTATCTTAAGTCATGTATCTCCACCCATGTCATGTGTCGAACCTGTCGACCCCTGTGACTTCACAAGTAGATGCCAAATCTGTCACCGTCACCGTTGAGAGATCTCGGGAAGCACTGAGAGCACTCACCCAGCGAATCTCTGCCCCGCCCCAGCCCCGGTTGGAACAGCAGGTCCATGTAATCTTCGGGCTTCAGGTTCAAGATCTGCAAAGTGACACTCAGCAAGCTCAGCCCGGTAAGTCACAGGGTAAGTCACAGTTGACTGGAATGGAGGTGGCCAAAGCACGCTGACACCTCTTGCTTATAGAAAAGCGTGCGTGTGTGTATGCATATATAGTTCAGGACAGGAAACAGTCTTTGACCCACCGACCTAGTCGATCTTCTCTACATCCTGGTATCCTTTCTTCTATGACTTCCACCGCTCTTGGGCCTTGTTTCCAATCTTGAAGCCGATGTTTGGCAAACGATCATAGTTGGAGCAGTCCGCCTGCATGTCGCCCGAATGTGTTCCCACTGGTGGTGGGTTTCGTCTACGTCCCGACCTCTCAAAGTATCTGATAAACTACATTGCGGGCATGCCAAACATTGCTGGCATGGCAGTGAGTTTCGATGTCATTTGGACATCCTCTACCAATAATGGTTCATATGCAGTTTCGATTCTTTGTTGGAGCCTGAGAAACTGCAACAATTGGCTTTCAGTGGTAACTGAGGTTTGAAAACCCATGTGGCTCCACATCAGTTCAATGCGCAGCCATACCAGGTAAGCAAACCGAACAACCACGTTGCTCTAGTTGATTCGGTCGTTGGTTCCAAAGCGAACCTGTGGCGGGGGGTCTTCAGCCGGAACTGAGCGGAGCAGGTCCGCTGATGTTACGCTGATGGGCGTGTCATGCTGACATGTGGTCATGCGGCCAGGGCTATGGGTTGCATGGTGTGACGTGGTCATGTCAACATTCTGACCTGTGGTCGCTCGCATGAAAACATGTCAGGCTTGATGTGCGGCTCTTGCTAACATGTTGTCATGCTGGCATGACCCACCGATGTTGTCACACCGATTTGGTGGCAGGGTGTCATGTTGCCGTGCTGTCAAAAATTGCTGTCACGCAAACATGTTGTCAGGCTGTCATGCTGACATGTTGTGTGCTGCAACGATGTCATGGGTCACGCCACAAAAATGCTGAAGTCGGGTCATGCTGTTGTGCGCCTACCTCTTTCTGTTGGAAGTTACCGCGGAGGCTAGGCTGCCACTCTGGGCCCGGAGCTGGTTTCCTGGTTCTTGTTTGTTGCGACGTTGTCATTCTTGCACCTTGTTTCGCCACATATGTACTATGCCGCCATAGTGCTGTGCTGTGATGCTGACATGTTGAAAAGGTGCATATACGTCAAAGAAGCATTGTCGGTCAGCCTGCAATTTCGCCATTGCCGAACAGGAGGATTCATGCCGACTCCTCTTGGGCTAATTAATTCTGTGTACCTTGTTCAACTGAAAAAACAAAAACACGAAAGGTGCGACAAACGCGTTGACAAGCGAGGAATCCTAAAAAGCATGTGGCTTGCATATTTGGGTCTCACCGGTGGGATGTTGGGTGGTCTTCTGTAGGTCTGTCTGGATGTTATGAAATACACATGGGCCAACATGCATGGCATGGCTCGCTGGACGACCATTTTCCGAATACCAAAAAGAAGGTTGGAGGCCATCGCTATTAGGTTGGAGGCCATCGCAAGTAGGTTGGAGGCCATCGCAAGTAGGTTGGAGGCCATCGCTTGTAGGGTGGAGGCCATCGATACATCCAAGAGCGGTACTGCTCTACGCAGTGTTCCTTAAAGTATGTTTTCAAACAGGTGGTGAACTCGGCCCCCTTCGCTCCGTGATCCGCCTCCGGCGCCACTTTGGCCTCTCGATCCGCGGAAAAAGCACGGCGTAGGGAAAAGGGCAGCGCCGCAGCTAAGCAAGTTATACCAATGTTATAGAGAAAAGCATTGTATAACAGGTCCTTTTTCGGCCTGTAAGAGGCTAGTGTCACATGGTACGACACGTTTTAACCAATGTATAACCCAAAGAAAAACAGAATCCAACGAAAGACTCTGGCTTTGGCAGAGAGGTCCAACTCCCAGACCCCACCGTCACTTCTTTCGGCCACCCTTCCGACCCCTCAGCCGGTCACCGGTCACTGGTCACAGGAATGGCCTGCAAGCTGTTGACCAAGGCTGAAGGCCCCGCCAACATGGAGGTCCCAGTGTCCACCGCCACCTGGACGGCGAGACAGTCGAAAACCGGTGCTGCTTTGGGCCTTTGGGCCTTTTGAAGAAGTGACGACATCAACAAATGTGCGCGCTTTACTGAAAGAACAATGAGGTGCCTTGGTGTTTTGGATATCAACAAGTGACAAGTGTGTCAGCAAGTCGCAATACGGCGTTGTTGACCCAACTCTCTTCCCTCAAAAGCTTTGTGATGAAAAGCTGTGCACAATAGTGGACCCTCCAATTGGTCCATGTGGAGTGGTTCTGTGTATATAAAGAGACCGTCTACCTACACATCACCACCCACTTCGCAGCCTGGCATCCGGTGCCACACAGGCCCGTCTCGACATTGTTGAACGTAATGTCCGAAACAGCTACCTGGCCGGGCGATTACATCGCTTTTTCATGCGGTGTTTGAGGGTGGGCCCACAAAATGGGCGATCCAAAAGACAATGTAAGAACCATATGTTCTTTTTTGTCGGCGCTCTGAGTCCCTGATCTGAATCTTTGCTTCGCACTGTAATTGCTGCTCAAAAGCGTCCAACACTCAGCCCGGCCGGTGAGAAGCGGATGAGAAGTCCAGTTCCAACCCATCGCCTGCCAGTAGGATTCCCGAGTCACCGGCGCCCAAACCACTTCCGAAGCAAGAAGCTCAGGCCTCAGGATCTCTTCAGATCACATCAGACCGAGCGGATCTGCACATATGGAGGATGTGGTCCACCGCTCGTGGTCTGGCGGGAAAAGAAACCGGTGAGTCCACCGCCTGTAGCCTCCAAAGGTAATCTCACTGGATCCATCCTGGCGCGGTTTCCCAACGACTTCCGCCGTGCAAGAGACAGAACCCGCGCGGTGCAGTGGACTGGTCTTCGTGTGGAAGGCTTCCACAGAGGGAGACCAACACCTAGGCATTCCGACCCCCTGGAAGAAGGGAACTTAAGTAGACCAAGGCCCATTGGTTGGGGGTCTTCAATTTTAAATACACACTAGTGAGAAGCAATATCGTGGACACCAGTGCCTGCCTGCGCGCACGCTGCGCGCACGTACACATGAAAAGGAAGCTGGGTTGCAAAGGAAGAAACCAGAAACAGAGACTGAGGGCAACCTCCAACACCAAGCTTATTTAATCTTATTTACAAAGGATGTCCCTGCTGCATTGTTTGTTGGCGACCAATACTGAGTGCAATCCACATTGGAAAAATGATGATTGCTAAGGCCACATGAAGAGCTTCCCAGAAGCACTGGCGTGGTGAATCCTTGCACCAACATGCAGCCAGCTGCACCACCACATCACATCAACAACAGCCCTTCGCATTTCTATACTGTCTTTTTTGCGGCAGAATGATCAATGAAACAACGGAACGCACGTGTTGAGCACTTTGTCGGCATAAACCAGGAATAAAAGACGGCGACGACGATGACGACGACGATGACGACCACAACAAGAAGTTACACAAAAGAGTAGCATCATGTAGCACCCAAGAAAACGAAAGAGCACAACCTTTACATAACCTTTGAAGGGTATTTATAGCATTAGCAGCATTATGATCATACATCCTCACACGTCATACCTTCCGTACCGTCTTAGCTTCTTCCGCACCTCACCGGCGCCCCGATTCCGTACCGGTCCGCCTCGGTGAGGAAGACGGAAAACAGCCCCGCCGGCAGCGATCCGGTCCTCGGCGTTCGTTCGGCCAGTCCGACAGAGAAGGTGCTCCGAAGTGGAATGCTTTTGAATGCTTTTGATGCATTCCATTTGTTTGGGGGGGGAGGCGTGATGAGGCGTGATGCCATTCTTGAGACATATACAATGATCCTGTCACGAAAATGGCTCAAGTTTGATCGATGTTGACCAACCAAGAACCGGTCACAAGGGGACAAGGTCCCACACAGTGTGCAGGTCCGCTTCGGCCGGTGTTTCCAGAGCTGGACGAGTCTCGTCGTCTCTTCGGAGGTGAAAAAGAAGCTTCAAATGTGAAGCGACCTTTGTCTGGTCGGTTTTTCTTCAGTTTCCGAGGTCTTCAGGTCCATCCCTGTGAAAAAAAACAAAAAAGAACTTGACCAGTGTGGTCTGGTTGCGCATCACTGGTATACTGTCTGGAACACAAACCAAGAACGTGGCTCTTGATGAGTCCACGAAGGAGCACCCCAAGCTGCGCACTGGTACATGTCGTCGAGGATGTTGAAGTCGTGCCCCATGGACAAGTCCTTCCAATCACACTGAAAGGGCCTGGATCTTCCCAGTGACCTTCCTTGGTCTCCGGTTCGGTCACGTAGTTAGGCGTGTGAAAGGTGGATGGGACTCCAAAAAGGTCGGGAAGGTCCTGGGGGGTGGTAACTTCGACAACCTTCCGCGAGTCCGCCTATTTTCGCCTCCATGTTAAGTTGGAGGGTCCTCCGCATGGTTTTCTCCCACCCTAAGAGAATGCCATACGTCATTGTCCTTGAAGCCCAGACCGAGAATGCCGTCGAAGGGGGTGGCAGAGAAAGGCACCGCCTTGGCCGCAACCAGCGGGTGGCCACCCAAATCCCGACCTTCCATCGCCCTAAACGACAGCTTGGATGCAAGCTGTGAGACCCCAACAGATTGCTCACCCCTCACCCCCCCAACAAAAAGGGAATTCCTTCAGTTCAGCTCGCCCCTCACCCCCCGGGCCCCTCACCCTGGGCCCCAACCGAACCGGCACTGGAGGACCCTGGACCGCCGCGCGCCGAACACCGAGGACCACTGCGCTCTGCTCGACGGATCCAATGAATCGAACCTGGACCGAAACACCGGGAGCCTCGACGGTCGAACCCAATGGAACGGTGGGTTTCGCCCCGTGTGGTGTTCACGACATGAACGAAGGTTCACGTGGGATTCTCCGGTTTCGGTTCCAAACGAGTCGACTGAAACACCGAACGGTGGGGCTTCCGGTCTCAGCGACCTCCCCGGAAGGAGAAACACCACTGCTTCGGTCGTGACACGACCGGTCGACCCGGTTCCGGGTGGAGAACCTTCGTCACCGCTCCGGCATTGCAGCTTCGACCGCTGCCGATGGCATGGTCTGGTGGAGAGGGTTCGACTTCCGAAGTTTCACTGGCATCTCCGCCTTGGAGCACAGCGAATCAGCGATGCAGAACTTGTCCTCATAGAAATCACCTCGGCAGGTGCAGGGTCGGCCGAATCCCATCGAATCCCACTGAACACATCGATGCCTTCGCCGGTTCGCCCCTCAGGGCCGGAAAACCACCGCTTCGCCGGGTCGCCGGGTCGCCGACCCGAAAAAACCGACCGTTCGGCCCGGTGAGACCGGTGAAGCCGACCTGTGATCGATCCTGTGCCAAAGGTGATCTCTGTGGAACCCTCTCCGTTCTCGTTGGACACCTCGCCAGCAGGACCATCGGTCACTCACCGTCCGGGCGTTCCGCGTGTTCCGCGTGTTCGGCGGTGGCGGTGTTTTGGTCCGTTCCGGCTCCGTTCGCACGTTTTGACCCCTAAGTCGTACATGAGCAGTGCTGATGGGCACAAAGGCACGAAAATGCCTGGCTGTTGCGAAACTAGCTAGAGGTCTAGAGGTGAAGGCCCGCCTGGCAACAATGCCCAAGCAAGACACTTGAAATATGCTGCGTCCAACATAGATCTGAAGTCCCGTCTCCATCCAAGTCCATGCATCCCAATCTCCCAAAAGATCCTTGACAAGCCTCAGATGAGGTAGCAGATTCGTGCGGGTTGTACTTTTTGTGCCTGGCACACCTTGCAAGAGATAGCTCCGAAATCGAAAACAACCAGCATCTTGAAACAGATGCTCCAATTCAACACCTTTGCATGCCAATTAAAGAGACACAGAGGAACACACCCAAACAAGGAGCAAAGTAAAAAGCAACAAAGAAAAGCAGCAGAACAGCAAAATGACAACGATAATCTGATAATCTTGAGCACAAATCAATTGCTAACAGCGAGCAATGAGCCAGAGCGAATGCCAAGTGGAAACTCTCACTGATCTTCAAAGAAGTGTGGACCACCAAAATCAACCCAACCAAACCCTCAACCTTATGATTTTCTTCGACTCACTGGTTTAGTACATCCACTCCAGAGCTTCGTACCCTTCCGACTTGCAGGCCGTCGTGGGAAGGATCAGATTCCCACTGCCCGTGTCGAAGATCACCTCGCGGCCGGTCCGCGCCGGACGGACGCGGCTTCGGTCCCCCGCGCGGCTGGGGCGGAGCGCGGGAGCGCGGCAGCGTGCGATCGGCCTTGAACTCTTGAGGTGGAGTTCCAACTCGGATGGAGCCCCAGTAGGCGGTCTTGTGGACAATCTGAGCGTGGGGGTGATGGGCTTGGCTGTGACGGAGGGCGGTCTTCCCGTGCCGGTTCCGAGTGTGAATCTGAGTGAGTCGGGATCGTCCGGGGTCGTCTTCCTCTAAAGTTCTTGCCAAAGTCTTTGATGAGAGATGTTTTTCTCCCAGGCACGACTAATGGGCCTGGCATATTTAAACCTACTATTGACACTGTTCAACCACCCTAATGCAGGTAGATATGCCAGTCCGATGGTCTGGGATAGTTCTTCTTACATAGATAGTGGCACAGTTTCCATCTAATACAGTACATGTTTAGTGGGGATCTATGAACTGCTATCTATGACAGGGGGTCTTTGTATAGTGGCTGGTGTCATCGATCAAAGCATCTGTCACAGGGCTTCTTCGTTCTTTGGACCATCTTTCACCCGGCCACGATGCTCAAACCAGTCCACCATGTCCTCTCTTCGCAGCTCCCCCAAGTCCCACGGACCTCTGTTGACATGGCGCCCATGTCTTGAGTCTTGTGAGACCTTACCATCGTCCAGTCGCGGCCAGGCTGTTGAGAGAGCGGGATCAGGGGCGAGTTCGTTGGGCCTGGTCAGAGAACAAGGTCGCGAGTCCCAACAGAGTTGGACATCGAAGTGGCTGGCCATGCTTTCCATAGGACGAGGTTTGGGATGGTTTGGGTCATGGCACGATACAAACGCGTCAGCCAACGAGATGCGGCTGAGCTGCTTCAGATGCTTGTTAAACAACAAGGCCTGGCAGCGAAGCACTTGACTGGTCAACTGCCATCAGGTGTGCCCCAATCCCTGTTCCTCGGGCCTATCCACCCCGGCTGACTGAGTAAACTGAATATAAAGGTATCTCCATGGCATCTTCCACCTCAGCTGACTGAGGTATCTCCATGGGTATGATGTTATGGCTTTCTCTGCGGTGTCTATTGAGATCTGGAGAAGGATGGAACCCTTCCGTGGTGTTGGTCTCCTTTGGTCGGGACCTCTCCCTTGGTGGACTGTGGCTGTGGCCGCACCTCATGATGATGTCCAACTTTAGCTTTCACTCGCCGCAATCTGCTGGCACCTGGTGCGGCGAGGTTGGAGGTGCGCGTTGCAACTCCGCAAGGCTGAGCCTGTTGGGTTGAATCTGTAGTAGAGAAGGCGACGTTGGAGCATCACATCACTCAGATAACTGAGGTTGATCTTAGGGGACACCGGGGACACCTCATCCAACAAACCACGGCTCAGAAAAGTAGATTTAAGATGATTGAAACAAAATACCCAAAAAAACATGTGTATATATATATATATGCTGTACGTATATATATATACAGTATATATGTAATCGACATTAAAGAGCAGTAAAGCCCCATGGTTTGCGAGTTCCCAGAATTCCCCAGATCGAGACCAACTGCCTCCTGAACCGGAAAAACACACACACCCTCGTCTCAATCATGGCGGCCGTCCAGGACGGCCCCCGGTGCCGATCGGTGCCTTTCACTTTGGCGCCCTCGGAGAGTATCACGAGGGCGACCTGAGCGCCGCCGCGTCGACGCGCCGCAGACGCAGGTCGTCGTCGGAACGTGCCATCATCAAAGCCACGAGGAACTTTCTTTCAAAGTGGTCTGCTGTCTGCTGTGAATGAATCCCTCGAATCGTCTTTCTGTATCTTTCTCGTCTTTTCTCAAACGAAACGTGTTGAATGGCAAACACAGACTCGCATCTTGGGGGCCGGGCCAGCAAGCGAAGAATCCTCATTGTCGCGGACCTGAGGTCGGATGGTTTCTAACTGGTTTAACGGCTGAATCCACACCAGGTCTGCTCCAAAAGGAGGCCAATGCTTTCAGAAACGTTCAGAGTTCAAATCCATACAACATTAAATTTGGGCATTTGGGGGAAAGCAACACACTGGTGGTTTTGTCGCTGTCACTCGTCACCCGTGCTTCTTTCGCAATCCTTCAAACCGAGCCGAACCGCCTTCGGCTTCCGTGCCGAGGCTTCCGGTGCACTCAGCTGCGCACCGGTGGGGGCGGTGGCGAGGCGCACGCCTCACGGGTCGCGGTTTGCGGAGCTGTTTTTCACCCAAACGGAAGAACGCGGCGGAGTGGAGTCGAGTGGAGTCTCACCCTGTTTGCCCCGGTGAGCCCCAAAGGGTTTTGTCTCCACAACCTGAGCTGGGGCTTGAGTCTACGTTTTGGATGTGATTTGGATGTGATTTTGGCACACCCATGTGAAGGGTTGTGAATCGACTTACTGCCCAAGTCTGCCTCATAGACAGTGTCGGAGAATGAGTCATTCAACTATATATGGATGTTTTTTCATGGGCTCCGATGGTTCAGAACCCATGTGTGTGTGTCTGTTTAGTATAAGCACCCCTATGTTGAGCCGAGGGCCTTGAAAGACCATTTTGAAATTGGTTGACGTGCTTTTGTAGTGTACAATCCTCAGTAAAACCAAGGTTGTTCGGTAAAGACGATGACATTAATGGTGGTTTTCCTAGGGAAACATCTGTCTTGGTCAGTGGACCCATCCTCAGCGTTTGAAACATGCCATAAAACGCATGAAGAAGAACATGATATCCTCCACGTTGTACTCTACTAAGAAGAAAGCAAAACATCATGAGCAATTCACCACCCCTGCGGTAATCATGAGGATTATAGAATTTTTGCTTTAACTCATCGACGGCCCCCGCAAAGAGTTTTGGGCTTTCTTTCTGGACGGGCACAAGAGGCACATGTCAGCAAAGATCAATGTGTGCAAACGATGGTCAAAGCCCTCATCGTACGCCTCCAAGCCGTAACCCCAGGAGCACCCAAATGCCCCCTTTTGAGCCAAGATCGGCGGAAAGTCATCAATGCACTACAAGGGGCTGCATTCTGATTAAGGCCTTGCTGCGAATAGTGAAGCAAAGTGCTGTGTCAAGAAACTGCATCCACTTTCATGGTTTTCACCAGTGGCTTTGCTGCAAAAATTTTACAACTGTGACACAACAGGGCCAGCAGCCTCGCTTTTCCATCAGCACACAAAGCGAGTTCAAAGCATCTTTCAAGCGAGGGAAGCAGGCTCCTGGCCTCATGCTTTACTTGTATGGGATGCCTGCATACCTCAGCGTGGTAAATCGGCTTTCGGAGCTTTGACAAGTTGAAAGGTTGGCAAAGGTATCCAGTATAGTCAGGTAGGGAACACCAGAGGAGCGTGTTGTATGCATAAACAAAACGAAAGAGAGCTGGCCAGCGTGGAAGGAAGCAGGAAGAACTCTCCCAAGGTTTCAGACTCTTGACTCTTGACTCTGCCACAGAACCAACGTATACCAACATTAGCTGAAGACAATTTGCACTTACTAAGCTACTGTGAGCTGCTATGTCCATGTCTGTGAAGTCCTGAACAAATGCACCTCCCCCTCCAAAATCGATCTTCCAAGTTCTGTTCCTTCTGCCCTTCGTCCACGCGTCGACCCAACCCAACCGGTCCGGTGATACTCGCTCCGGAGCCATCGCCAACTGAGGCGACGGACTGGGCATGATACTTCACGAAGTGGGATCGCATGCCCTGTCCGCCGTGATGATGGGTGCTTCAATGTTCCATGCTAATGATGTGTTCGTGGTAGTGAAGTCGCCTCCTACATGAACTAAGGGTTCGGTGGCATCTGACACCAAGGTTAGTTCAATGACAATCGGACAGTAAGAGAAAGGAATGAAGTTTGAGACATTAAAGAAGGGACAGGAAGGACGACAATAAACGGTCTTTTTGTTTCAAAACCTCCGAAGTTCTGAGTATCAACGTGCTCTCTGGTTTGATGCCAAGTGTTCACACCGACCGTTTGATCGGATCGGATCGATCGGATCGGAGGACGGCATCGATCGGAGAACGAGCGGGTGAAACGCCGGGCGGCACAACGGTATCACCGGTGAATAGGATGAAGCCCGACGACTCAAGAATAAGGGATCAAAGAGTTCTGTGCAAATGCTTCCGCTTGGCTCTTTCGATCTTTTGGGCGAAAAGGGGAACCAAAACTGTGTTTCTCTCAGCTGCACAGAACTTTTGGAGAATAGAACAAAGGCAACTGAGGGTGAGGCCGAATCGCTCATACAGTAGTCCCAGTGGATGGAAGGAGGCCTTAAGCGACCCATGTCTGGCACTTCATGTCGAGTTCTGAGAGCCCGAGCTGGGATTTCAACATCTCAAAAAGCGCCAGTTTGGGCGTGGGACATTCTGAAGGAATACGATGGTTTCGTCACGTCCAGCTGTTTAAAGTCAAAACCATGTCAATGTTCCAAAACCATGTGTATTTGCCCACATCAGTGAGATAAGCTCCGGGCTCGTAAATGCCCAGGGTCAAGATCTTCTTCCACTCATCACTCCACCAGCCTTGCCATGATGATTCTTCTTGCATGTCCTGCATTGTATGTCCTGCTCCTGTTGGATTTCATTGGCCATGTATAATGAAGACTCTTGATTCATAGATCGTTCTTACGCAGCCGCAACACTGAAGTTCAACTTGGGACTGCAGAGGGCATAGAGTCGTAGAGGTGGCTACAGGATCAATCTATCTGGACTCTTGATTCATAAACCCCACCAAACACGAATTGTAGAACCTCTTCAGGCCCGTGGGATCAACAAAAAGATACAAAAAAAAACATTCCCTGAAATCATCATAGCTTATGCGGCTGGAATGGCATGGCCCCGTTTTCGACGATTTCGGATGACCCGAACAGGTGGTGAACACACTCACTTCACGAAACCATGATCTCAGGGAGTGTCATCACGAGCCTGGCTCTCTGTGGGTCATGGGACAAGGGTACCGAGGATGATGATGTTTCCTGATTTTTTCAGATTTTTCCCGGGAATTGTTTTTCCCATTTTTTTCCCCTACTGCTTTTGTTTCTGTTTTTTGCTTTTGTTTCTGCTCGGAGTGCTTTACAAGCACACTAGGAGCAGCAGAAAGGGCAGGGGATGAAGCACCAAAGCCAGCGTGACGGAAAGAGCGAGACAGTGACAAAAGGAGGGAACGGAACAGGTATCCCACTTACTATAGGGACTTCTTTGCGGTTGTCTTTGGGTTTCACTGGTTTCGGGTTTCTTTGGGTTTGGTTTCTTGTCTTCCCTCCCTTTGTCACTGTCTCGCTCTCTCCGTCACGCTGGCTTTGGTGCTTTGTCCCCTGCCCTTTCTGCTGCTCCTAGTGCTTCTAAAGCACTCCCAGCAGAAGCAAAAGCAAAAGCAGAACGCAAAAAACAGAAACAAAAAGAAAAAGCATAAGTAAAAGCAGAAGCAAAAAGCAAAAGCAGAGGCACAAGCAAAAAGCAAAAGCAGAAGCAAAAGCAAAGGCAGAAGCAAAAAGCAAAAGCAGAAGGAAAAACAAAAAGCAAAAGCAAAAAACAAAAGCAGATGCAGAAGCAAAAGCAAAAAACAAAAAATTGAAGCAAAAGCAGAAACAAAAAGCAAAAAACAAAAGCAGTAGTAGAAAAAACACGAAAACAATACCGGAAAAAAAAACGAAAAAAAAAACAGGGTACCGACCGGTTGACAGAACATGAAGAGAATGGACAACCTACAGGAGGTCAACGGCCAAGAAACTCCCTGGTTTGGAGCGGGTTTTGACCCACAGCCCTTCGGGCCCTTCGGCCCAGACCGAACCCCCGTGGGCGCCCCAGACCGAAGCTGTACCACGCGGCAGTTGGCGCGGCCACCTTTGTTCGGTGAGAAAGGCAGGCACTGACCATCTGCGCGACGGCCAGTGGGAAGACTGGACCATTAAGGGTTTTTGCATCCCCTCAAGGCCGCCAGGGATCATTCATGCATCATACACGTTGTGGCTCAAACGTCACACGCCACTTCGGTCGACTTCAACTCGTCTGACCAGCAAGTAGCTTGGATGGTTGACGTCAAGCGTTGCTTGTTTGTGTGCCAATGTTTCATTGCTACCCGATTACGGTTGCTTTTAACACCCTCGCTTGACCATTTGCACAACTTTATGGAAACGTTCGGCGGGATATGTGAAACAGAGCAACATGGGTTGCCAGGACAGGGCGAGGCTGGCAGAGAAAGGACAGGCCATGGCCACGCGAAGAGTGGGAGGCAAAATTCAGTACAAACGTTTGAGCAACTGGAGCGGTGGAAAATAATTCAGGAGGGTAAGTGGTCATGGAAAACCCCCAACGAATTGAGATTGGATCAAGACACACTTTTTGAGCATGAGAAAGTACAGGGCTTGAACAGGACTTGACGCGAGACCACGTCATGAACGGAAGGCCTTTTTTAGCACATCAAAAGTGCGCGCTCTGCCTGCGTTTGCAGATTATGAGCCCAACGCTTTTTTCCAGGACCACCTGAGACTGCAGCGTGCGCAGCTCAGTAGCTGGCTCCCATGGCGACAGCGAACCCGTTCTGGTCGCAAGCTCTTCAAGATCAGTTTCGGCTTGAGGAAGCAGTGCTGACGCTGCTGAGTCTATTGCACAAGGAGCACTGCACAGGGAAGATCCACACTCTTTGGGATGACATAGCACAACCTCCTCCGGGCCGACGACCTGGAAGGGAGGAAGTACAGGCCGCCATGAGGAAGATGAATGCCATGGATAGCCATGATAAGCTAGTGTGTGGCCTGAAAAGTTGACGAAGGAGGTGCAGCTCAGGGTGTGTGGAGGAAACGATCTTGGAGGGCACCAAGGCACCACAAAAGAGATGGAGCTCATGGGTATGCTTCTTCAAGGTCTTCAGCTGATGGTGGATGAGTTGGCAGTGAGCATCTCTCACGAGGACC